TTTTTTTTTTTTTTTTTTCACTTCTAACTTGGTGGCGATTTTTCTATAAGTGTAACTTATAAAATGTATTTCTGTCTCTCATCATCATGCTGGATGCATGCCAGAGTTTTCTTTTTTAATTTTTATTAATTCTCAGATGCTCGAGGATGTTCCTCAAATTAACAATGGAGTGCAGCTCTCAATAGTGCAAGGATATATGTCAAGGTTTTACAGGTGATTTAGCAAGCTGTTAAGTTCCTGGCATGCAACAATTCTTTAAGATTGAGTAGTTGACATGGCTGATGGGATGTCTGTATTAGGAAATACGGGACGTGGGTGGCCCGAAATCCGATGCTTGTATTATGCTCATCAATTGCTATAGTTGTGCTGCTTTGCCTGGGTCTTATTCGTTTCAAAGTGGAGACAAGACCTGAGAAGGTACACGCTTATACCTCCAAATATGATTTTGTGTTGTAACTATTACTACTCTCCAACTGCTAATGATGTAACTAGTAAAACCTACTCTATTACTAGTCTTCATTTCACAATTATATGAATTTAATATGATTGTCTTTTTTTTTTATTATTATTATTTCTAAACTCAGACAAGTCGTTTATATTGTTACCTAACATTTCCAGTTATGGGTGGGCCCTGGAAGTAGAGCTTCCAAGGAGAAAGAATTTTTTGACAATCATCTAGCTCCATTTTACAGGATTGAGCAGGTAGTTTAGAGTATAAATATTTGTGTTGCTGGATGTTATTAGTTCGTTATAATTCAGAATGTAATGTTGAAAACATTTCAGCTCATAATAGCAACGATTCCGGACTCACGAGGAAAAGCTCCAAGTATCGTGACAGAGAACAATATCAATTTATTATTTGATATACAGAAAAGGGTATTACTTCTTCTATCTCGAGAAGATGGCGAATAGACATTTTCATCATTTTCCTATTATACTAGAGTGAAATAGTTGCTTCATCGAAAATTATAAATGTGTTAGGTGGATGCTATCAGAGCTAATTATTCTGGTTCAATGGTATCACTTACTGATATTTGCTTGAAGCCACTCAAAACGGATTGTGCCACTCAAAGTGTTCTTCAGGTACTTTGGGATTAACACAATTATATTATACTGATTGCTTGTTTAGAACTTTATTCATAATTTATCCCCATATTAAAATATTATCCAACATGCTTTCAAATGTCACAAGATTACAATAAAAAGGACGAGCATTAAATGTCTATTCATTGGTGCTGTTTTGCTTATTCATGTTGGCCCATGTTTATGTGTCTATGTCTCAGATATAAGTGCCTTTTTCATTTCATCATATCTTAGTACTAGATATTTATTAAGTAATTGCTGTATTGGCATTTCACTGGTCCTTGGATGGTCACATGACTTGTTATCTTTGTTTCTTCTTTTCTATATATATTTTTTTTCTTATTTCGTTAACAAACTATGAACAAGTTTATGGTGACCAATTGTTTATTTTTGGTATAGTATTTCAAGATGGATTCTCAAAATTATGACAACTTCGGGGGTCTTGATCACGTTGAATACTGTTTTCAGGTACTTTTAGAGGCTCATTTTTGTTTATTACACCCAAGTTCTCTTTCTTTATGATCTTTTATGAGATAAGTAGACTAACTTGTGCTCTGCCTTCTATTGTTTCAGCATTTTAGTTCAGCAGACACATGCACAAGTGCATTTAAAGCACCTCTTGACCCAAGCACTGCACTTGGCGGTTTTTCCGGAAATAACTATCTCGAGGTACTTTCTTTGTATCATTTGTTGCTTAATTTTTCACATGTGAAATACATTCAACTCAACCAATCCTTTAGGCTTCTGCATTCGTTGTGACGTATCCCGTGAACAATGAAGTTGACAAAGAAGGGAACGGAACCAAGAGGGCTGAGGCATGGGAAAAAGCTTTCATTCAGCTTGCAAAGGTTCGAATTTGTTCTTTTCTTCATTTACAATCCTGATATAGGCTATCTATGTAAACATGATACTAAGCTTTCATCGTGCAATTTGGTTATGAATAAGTTTTCCTTTTGTCATCTAAATCCAGCTCTTTTATGGCAAATAGTTATATTCTCTACTTAATGGGTGTGCTTGGGAGCATGAAAGAAGATGATAAAGTTGGAAATAATAGATTACTCTAGCTTTTGTAATACAAAATCTAGAACCTAAGATTTATTATCCTAGAGAATCTAGCAATAAAGATCCAGTCATAATATTTCCTGGCTACCAGTATGATTGTGCTACAAACATGCTTTATTTATCAAATTTTCTTCTATACTTAATCATTTATTTCTCTCACAGGAGGAGCTTTTACCTATGGTGCAGTCAAGAAATTTAACACTTGCATTTTCATCCGAAAGCTCTGTTGAGGAAGAGTTAAAAAGAGAAAGCACTGCTGATGCCATCACTATTTTGGTAGGGAAATAGATCTCTCTCTCTCTCTCTCTCTCTCTCCCCTTCTCTCTCCATTTCTACACTCACACACTATTTTCAATTATTTTATATTCACCCATATAATCATTATATATCATTTTCTGTTTCAGATAAGTTATCTCGTAATGTTTGCTTACATATCCTTGACACTAGGAGATTCTCCTCGGTTCTCCTCATATTATATCTCTTCTAAGGTATTATTCCGTAAACAAGCTGATTCTATTTGCTTATTTAAATATTTCTTATGCTCATTGAGGATGATATTCAGTTGTTTTTGTTCTCTTTCTCAGTCATCCTATTATCCTTTTCTGTTTGGTAGTTTAACTATGTGCATCCGTGATAAACACATTACAAATTGCTTCGATAAATCCAAGACAGGCTTATAGGTATAGCGGCAATATGGTTGCACATTTGTTGTTTTCTGAAGCCTTTTCGAATCAGACCTCCGACATTTAATTTTGTAATTCCCTCAACATGTTCTCTGCATGTAGATTCAGTATGTTCTGTCTCTAGACCCGGTAGCTGAGCTTCCCAGATACGTAATTAGTGCAAAAAAATATTTAAAATCTCGTTAATCTGATGAAATCATTGCGCCTTGAGTATTTTGTATAGGCATGGTTTTGTTCATTTTTCTCGCTGCCTTGTGTGCTGTTGTTTTATTGGAAACTATCCATTTTTTGACTCAAATACGATTCAGGTCCTTTTCTTTTTTTTTGGGCAACCTGTGCGTTTCTTTAACAGGTATTGCTTGGGCTAGCAGGAGTTCTACTTGTAATGCTCTCAGTACTTGGATCGGTTGGATTTTTCAGTGCAGTTGGCATAAAATCAACCCTGATAATAATGGAAGTCATCCCTTTTCTTGTTTTAGCAGTAAGTTGTGGTTCTTACGTTTGCTTGCGCAACTTCTCATTATTGTATTTTTGGACTTCCTTGCTTTCTTCTTTCTCTCTTTCTTTCTTTTTTGTGTTGCTATGATTTTTCGCTCGACGTATTACTTTGTTAAAAAATAAAAACAAATGAAATTAATCAATTGGTGTTTGTGTACGTCAGTACGTGTTTGTGTACTTTTATTTGTTTTGACTTTCAAAACTTAGAATTAATAAATGCATATAACTAGCATTGTGTTTGAATTTATTGACATTTAAGGGGCTTATATTCTTTGAATCTGGTGTTTCTTTTTGTTATTTAGTCCATATCTTTACATGGATATTGGTTGAAAAAGTTGAACTCACTAGCTCGGCAATTTAAATAAATAAGAACATGAATGTGTACTTGTTCAATGGGTCTCGCTTACTCACCTTCTCAAATAATATAAGGATGCACTGATGTATTAGAAAAATAGTCAAGCAATTCAATTAGCATTTTGACTGACTCTATCATGCTTCTCCAATTTCACGCTGAACAATGAACATGCATTAAAAAGCTTTTTAATCTGATCAGAGATCAGTGGATGACTTGTCATGGAGTATATCCAAATGACGGTATTTGCAATTGAGAAAACACACATGTGATATTTGATAAATAAATACTAACACAAAAATGTTAGATGTTTGTTCAGAGCTGAGGCCCCCGCGAATGCACGTTTACCTTTATTGGGCATAGATTTACATATATTCGTATGACTTGATTGATTGTTAAATCGTTTGACATGGTTGTCAGGTTGGAGTAGACAACATGTGCATATTGGTACATGCTGTAAAGAGACAGCAGGTAGAATTGCCTATCGAGGGAAGAATTAGTAATGCTTTAGTAGAGGTTGGGCCGTCTATGACACTAGCTAGTCTTTCTGAGGTCTTGGCATTTGCAGTTGGAAGTTTCATACCTATGCCTGCTATCCGTGTCTTTTCGATGTTTGCAGGTACGAGTTTCAAAAACATGTGATTGTAAAACTACCAAGCATATTATTCAAAAATATTTAGTTTTGTAATGCATGTCCGGTTTGCAGCATTGGCCGTTCTCTTGGATTTCCTTCTACAAGTCACTTCTTTTGTTTCCTTGATTGTTTTTGACTTCTTGAGAGCTGAGGATAACAGGGTAGACTGTTTTCCTTGCATAAAGGTGTCTGGTTCGAATGTGGAACGGGATCAAGGTATCTATTGATACTTAAATTAAACAATCTGCTTTTTTGTTCAAGTTACCATATTCCTGATTTAGTATACTTTCAAGCATAAAGCTAAAACAGACCGCACTTGTTAAAACGTAGGTAGTCATCAGCAGAAACCTGGACTGCTTGTCAGATATATGAAGGTAAAAAATGAATAAATGTCTCTTTTTTGTCGTACGAAATGATTTTATTTTTTAATATCAATTAATTAGTATCTTCCTCTAGGAGACTCTGTCAAGCATTTTCTGAATTTATCATTATAGTACTATTCATTCATTCATTATTTCTTTTAGCAACTTGGCTTCTAACCATATGTAATCTTTCATATACTTTTATTCGTAGTATAAAAAGAGTTTCTTCCGTTGGTGCAGGAAATTCATGCTCCCACTCTGAGCCTGTGGTTTGTGAAATTGCTGGTTGTCTGTGCTTTTGGTGCATTTACATTGGCAAGCATAGTAAGTTGTTGACTGCAACTTCTCCTCTTAGCTAATGTCATCAATCACATATGCTGGTTGTTATTTCATTTGTGATTAGAACTCTGAATCTTCATAATTGATCCATGAAGGCATTATGTACAAGAATCGAACCTGGTTTAGAACAGCAAATCGTTCTTCCTCGAGACTCGTATCTTCAGGTCTTACTAGTTTTATACTTATGTCATGTGCAGTAAAATCTTTTAACATCCTTCCGAAACTTGATTGACTCTGGTTTTCTCCTTTTCTTCTGGCAGGGCTACTTTAGTAACATATCAGAGTATCTTAGAATTGGTCCCCCACTGTACTTTGTAGTGCAAAACTACAAGTTCAGGTATTTTACTTTTATTATGCCCCACTGATATCAGCCTCTATCCAAGACATCCTAAAATAAAACATAAAATCTTTACATAGGAAGCTACTACAAACAAAAAAAAAAAAAAAAAAAAAAAAAAAAAAAAAAAAAAAAAAAAAAGAGAGAGGAAAAAAAAAATTGTATCTGTATCTTCCCTTGATGCAATTATGTAATCTGAGTAAATTATGATAGACAATATAGTTTATGAAACTTAGTCCCCTTCTTCTCTGTGTTCAAAATCCATTATTGTTTTTAAGGTTAAATGAATTTCTTATCACGCTCATGTTTTTTTGTCTCCCAGTTCTGAATCAAGGCAGACAAACCAGCTTTGTTCCATTAGCCAGTGTGATTCTAATTCTCTTCTCAATGAGGTAAAACTTTTATGTTAGGAAAGAGTACTTTTAAGCTTAGGAATAACAGATAGTTGTCTGCTTTTTCCTGCTGGCTAGGAGTTTCAAATGATAAACGACTTGTGAGAGTCTAAGGTTGAACTGTTTTAATGAGAGTTAACTATTTGTTTTTCTTCTCTTGTATTTATCGTGGGTAACAGGAGCTTTACTGGATCTAATGGATATAGTTATTTCAAATGTAAATAAGAGTACTTATTTTATTATCTTTTAGGAGCCCATCGTGTTGAACTTTATAAGACGTTTTCAGAGATCACTGACTTGTAATATCTAGAAGCAATCAATTGTCTCTTCTTTCTGGATGTTTCCATAAGTATGATGCAATCTACCTATCTAAAGTTTCTGGATTATCATAAATCATACGAATGCTTCATATACATATTTTCCTGTTTGTTTGGGCAAGTGCATGTTATCAACTTAGAACACTGGATAGATAATAAAAGAAGAATGATTTTTTTAATTTCATGCTCATGGGACTCCAAAACATGTTGCGTATTTGTACATAGGCAATTTGTTTGAAATATTTCCAATGCAAAGTTTCATGAATATGCAGATTGCAAGGGCATCTTTAGTACCAGAGTCGAGTTATATAGCCAAACCTGCTGCTTCGTGGCTTGATGATTTTCTTGTTTGGCTATCTCCTGAAGCTTTCGGGTGTTGTAGGAAATTCACAAATGGAAGCTATTGCCCTCCCGATGATCAGGTCTCTCATAAACTTAACGAGGCTTATATTCTATATTGTGTCTTAAAATATCCGTACTTCTTATACATTATGCATTCATGTGAATCATTTTCCCGTCTTCTTTTAACTTTCTGCAATTGCATCCGTCTCTCAAGTGTGATATGTATCCTGTTTTCTGTTTTTTGTTGTATTTTCCTCTATATCGGTAATATACACGTCAAGATTTTTCCTGAAATCTGACCCAACATTTTTCTCAGCCTCCTTGTTGTTCATCAAGTGATGGTTCTTGTGGACTTAGCGCCGTTTGTCGCGACTGTACTACAGTAAGTTAAACCTTGTAACAGTAATAATAATATTAATAATAATTAGTATATCAATGAAAAGGGAGAGGTTTATTATTTATCTTCCTTTTTTTTGCATATGACTTGGTGGAGATAGTAAAACTTGAATTTAATATATTATGTCTTTTTTTTTTTAGTGTTTCCGTCACTCGGAGTTGCAAAACGATCGTCCATCAACAGCACAGTTCAGGGAAAAACTGCCATGGTTTCTCACTGCCTTACCCTCAGCTGATTGTGCTAAAGGTGGCAATGGGGCATATTCAACCAATGTCGAGCTTACAGGTGGGGATTTTGTTACTTTTTAGAAAATAGATTGTCTTGTTTAGCTAGCCTGGTAAAGTTGTTGCCTTATCTGAAATTGGTGTGTATATATATATAGGTCTTGAGGATGGTGTCGTTCGAGCGTCAGCCTTTCGGACTTATCACACGCCCCTAAATAAGCAGGTATATCATTATTGAGAAGGGTTTTTTTTTTTTTCTGTATGATTTATTCTGGAATATTGTTTAAAAAAATTCATGACTTTATTGATGTCATTTTTTTACCAAAATTGTTGCTTACAGGCTGACTTTGTTAACTCAATGCGGGCCGCTAGAGATTTCAGCGCTAGGATGTCTGATTCTCTAAAGGTAGTTGATCAGTTCAATTATTGAAATTTTGGGTGACAAATTTGGTAAATTACGCTGACGTTTTAATGTTTTCTGATTTTCAGATCGACATTTTTCCGTATGCCGTGTTTTATATGTTTTTCGAGCAGTACCTTGATATATGGAAGACAGCTCTGATCAACCTCGCTATAGCCATCGGTTAGTTAATTTTTCTTTTCTATCATTCGGTACATGCACAAAACTTTTGATGTCGGTTGGTGTTGAGTGATTATCTTGAACTGTTCGTGCATTTATTTACTGCAGATGTAATTGCATCATGTTCACTTTTTTGTTGCTCATCTCTAATGAATCAGTCTCTTAAAAACATTACAGGGGCTGTTTTTGTTGTTTGCTTTGGAATAACATGCAGGTCAGTAATTTGGTCTCACCAATTTAGTATTTGTTTACCAAAATATAATAGCAATTACTCACTGTTGTTCTGATATCGATCTCCTTCTTTTGGTAGTGTTTGGACTTCAGCAATAATCCTCGTCGTTCTGAGCATGATCGTTGTGGATCTTTTGGTACTTTGTGCTTTGTATATTTATTTAAAATTTGATTTCATGATGGTTATGCGTACGTATTCTTGTATGGTAGATTAGGCATTGCCGCAAGGTTTTGTTTTGAAGAGTAGTGTGTGTGTGTGTGTTTGTTTGTTCAGGGTGTAATGGCGATTTTAAATATCCAGCTGAATGCCTTGTCGGTGGTGAACCTTGTGATGTCCGTGGGTATTGCAGTCGAGTTCTGCGTCCACATAACACATGCTTTCTTGGTCAGATTTCTTACTAACATTCTCATCTCCACATTCACATCCACCACTTGGGACTCTAATCTTATGAAATGTAATAATAGACATTGGATTTTTGTCACAGGTGACGAGTGGAGATAGAAACCAACGGATGAAAGAATCTCTTGTCACAATGGGATCATCTGTATTCAGGTTTCCTTGTTTTTTTTTTCTTGGTTTTAAAATTGTCACTCTTTATAATAAATCTATTTCTTTTTCCGCCTTTCAGTGGCATCACACTGACGAAGCTAGTTGGAGTGCTCGTTCTATGCTTTTCAAGGACCGAAGTTTTTGTGGTATGTAATCTTTTGCAGGCCATCATTATATTTATATGAGGCATTTTTGTTCTCCTAACACAAACATCTGTTTCTCTGCTGCCTTGACTTACAGGTTTACTATTTCAAAATGTATCTTGCCTTGGTTCTTCTGGGTTTCTTGCACGGCCTTGTCTTCTTACCTGTAACATCCCTATATTCTCCCTCCTTTCAATTACCCTTTTTCTTCAAGTCATGAATGATGCGCTTAAGTTCTTTCTTGCTAAGGCTAAAGTCATTTTATCATATGTTCTCGTGATGATACTTTATGTAGGTAATATTGAGCATGTTTGGGCCGCCGTCACGATGCGTGCTAATAGAGAAGCAAGAGGATCGGCCATCAACGTCATCACAGTTCTAGTTAATCTAAACCTTGATGTGTTATTGTGTATTAAGGAAGGTGTATTGTGTATTAAGGAAGGTGTTTTAGTTTTTTCTCTCTTTTTTTGGTAAAGTATTTTTTGTTATTGAGAAATGTGGGTAGAAGAAGTTGATGTGATAGTGTTTTCCAATTGTAAAGTTGATTGGTTTACATGTGTTTCTTTAGAAAGTTGAAACAGAAGAATTAAAGTTGATTATAAAAGAGAGCGTTCCACTAACCCTCAGAATTATTTTAATATTAAATTAATCGCGCGCATGATGTATAGCTTGGGATTACAAATATAGGACCTTTTTTCTAAATCTAACAACACTATATTCAATAGTAATTAGGTCTTATTCTTTAATCTTTTAGAGATGCAGGAAAACAAAAATAGAATCTTGAATTTAAACAATGAAATATAAGTAGCGATCTCACAAACTCTTAGACTAACTCAATATGCTAAAGAGAGTACTAAAATTCAATGTTAATAGTAGCTGCAACCACTCATCTTGAGTCTTTGTGAAGCATACATACCAATGTTGCTATAAAACCAACTGGTTGGTTCCCTTATGGAACTAACACTCAATTAGACAGTTTCATGTGGGGTTGTCCCACATGAAGCCCATGTGGGATAGCCCCACATGGAGCAAAATCATTGGGAGTTGGTTCCATAAGAGAACCAATCAGTTGGTTTTATAGCAACATTGGCATACATGCAAAGTCCAAGAGATTTCACATTTCCATGTTTTTAATAGCTACAGTTGGAATCCCTTCAAGTTGATATAAACAAAAATACAAAGGTCTTATGCTTTAGTCTTTCAGAGGTGCAAGAACACAAAAATGAAATCTTGAATTCAAACTACAGAATACATTCAGCAATCACACAAACTCTCATACTAACTCAATATGGTAAGGTGTAGCGCCCCGTTCGAATATTAGATTTTTCCGATTTAGTTTTGAATAATGGCATTTTATATTTTTATTTTTCTAAATGCCTTGATAATGTGGCTACATATTATATTATTGAATGAATAATATAATCTTACGAGTCGTTCAATTTATTTTACCGATCACCGTTAGAATTTTCGGTTTAATTGCGTAAACCGAAATCATATCTGTTTTAATCGAGTCGTTATGACCCGAACTTCGTATTGACTCGACCAGCCAAATTTCATGCGATTTATCATCATTTTTAAAGTACTAATCAAGCCTAAGAATCATTATAAAATTCCAAGCCTCATTAGCCATTTGTTTATGCTAATTATAGCATCATGGGCATGACTATTATATTGCTTGTGTAAGACCATGTCCCATGATCTCTTAGTTCATAATTTGAACTTATTCAGCCCTTTATTTTAGTCCAAAACTGAGCATGGCAGCCTAGTGCCTTAGGAGATTCTCCCACTTTATGCCTTGGAAATGAGGTAAGTAATTTGTCTCCACAATTGTCCCCCATGATGCTCCACTTCTTAGCATAATTTCTCACGCCCTATTGACCCTTTTTTAAGCCTCTATCCATCAGCTATTTCTTCTTAATTGATCCTCAGCCAAGTCCTAGTATAGTGGAGAGAAGTTATCCTCAAACTCTTGAGCAAGATCATCAAAGCCGAGAGAGAAACACAAAATCTCGAATGCATGTTTGAGAGTTATTTTGAATCCTAGCCATCAACTCTTGCTACCAACCACATTATATCACTCTTACCTCATTATAAACTCCCAAAAGAAGTGTTTTTAGGCTTCAAGTTCAAGAAAAGTCGAAGATATTAAGCTCAAAATCAAGAGCAAAAAGAGGAAGGCAACAACCGAGCAAATTCTATCTTTTCTTGTGTTTTTTCTTGGAAATTCCGTAAGGTTAGCAAGATATACTTTTTAGAACATATTACAGATAATATTAGGTGTTTAATGATGTGTTGAAATGCCTTATATGTTCATTTCTTGAGTAATTTTAAGCATGCAAAGTGATAAGTGGGTCCCAACTTGAATGCATGTTTCATATGTGCTTAGAACTTGCGAATTTTGCCTATGCTATGAAAAATATGAGAAGGTATGCTTCCTATAGTTATTTCTTGTGTTAAAAAGAAGTTCATAGGATCAAGAATCAAGTCTTTTAGCCTAGTATAACTCGAGTTATTGATTTTTAAAGTTAGGCATGCAAATTGAACTTTACATGCGCGAATTCAGCTGCAACTTCAAACGCGAATAACTCGAGTTCTACTTAGGATAAAATTATGAAATTTTATGAACATATTTATATATGAGTTATGAGTCTGCATACCAAATTTTATGATTTTATTTTAAGAATTTAGTGAGTTTTGATTTTTACAAAAATATTGTGCGTGCAGTTTTTAAGAAAACTCGGCAGCATGTTAGGTTAGATGATTAACTCGGTTGATGTGTCGTAATGTGCTCAATTTGAAATGTGTTATTCATGAATTTTGTAGTGCTTTGAGTTAGGTCTCTGTTAGTTTTGAAATTTCATAATTCGAAGTTGAATTGAATTTATTATAAATTTTTTAAGTTGAAACTGCAAGCAGTTTTTGAAATTCTGGGCAGAATTGAGAATCATGATGTTGGGTTGTTTTTGACAATCTTAATGTGACTATGTGAAAATATGATCAACATGAAAGTTGTGTATATAAGTGTTAGCTTCTTGTTAGTTTTGGAATCGCTTGAATAGCATACTTGTAGCTCATGTTACCTTGGAAATATTGAGACCATGCGAGTTGTTCATTCCCATTTTTGGTCTACAATTATGTTATGTGTTATTGTTGAAGTATGTGGCTAATTTATATCACATGAGTGTAGTTAAGTGATTGTGTGTTGGATAGGCTTTCATAGGACTATTTTGTGTAATGTAGGTGTATGACGAGCTGTGTCTCGACCTACCTTTATCCTCGAATTTCTGTGATTTCATCCTCCGGGTACCAGGTGGGTCTTATTTAAATCGTCTATGCCATGAATGATAAGTGTTTATTTTTGTGAGTATGATCTATGCATGAACATGAAATATGTAACCTATCGATGTGAGCTGTTACGGCCGTCGGTACGGTTATCCCCGTCGATGTAATACGGTTGCCCTTGTGAGGCAAGTCTCCTTAAGTCCTGATATGGTCATGCCCTTGTGAGGTACGTAAGCCCATATGGAAGGCCCTGCCCATAGCGTGGCATGTACTCCCGCCTTTGGGTAATGAATCCCTGTTCTGCGGCTAGCGATAGATGTGCACAGGAGTAATGTCGTTGTGATCTTGATAGGAGACAAGATATGATATGATTATTTATTTTCATGCTGCGGCCATACTATTTT